TCTAGTTTTCTTTGTACCTATTCTTTTTCTAGATTGTAGCCTACTGAAAACAGGAATTTCATCTTTTTAGGTGTAGCCTTTTCTGAGGACATCTTTATCAACTTTTAGCAGTTTCTGGACAAACTCATTTCGAGAATGGACTAGTTTTCCAAATGACTGAAAACAAAATAACTTGAGTTCCCAATATTATTATTATATCTTCAAGAATGACCAAATAAAATATATTGACCCCATTGGGCTTTGCTAGCAATTTTGCTTAATTTTTCACACCAGTGGCTCTCTACGATAGTGTTATAACACAGATATGATTGAGATCCAATGGGAAGTGACACAAGTAATGCATTACTAATAATAAAGTTCTGAAACCCGAAGGTGACTTATTTTCATGAATTAGAGCACATTCAAAATTATTTGTATAATAATGAACATGATTCATTTGATTTCTTGAAAGAGAAATTAGTGGTATTAGAGCCTAGCAATTGGTTACAGTAGTTTTGTCTACAGAAATATAGAGTGAGTCCCGTCTGTAGTTTTAATTTTGTAGTAGCCACGTTAAAAACTAAAAAAGAACAAGTAAAATTAAAATTAATATTAGCAAGATATTTTAAAACCAATGTATCCAAAATACTATAATTTTAACATAGAATCAATGTAAAAACTTATTAATGAGATATTAAAATTTTTTTATACTTCTTTGATATCTATTGCATATTTTACACTTACAGCACATCCTAATTTGGACCACATGCATTTCAAGTCCTCAAAATCTTTATGTGTGGTGCTACTGCATTGGACAACCCCGGGTTTACAGTGTTAGTTAGGACTTTTATGCATACAAGACAATTAATATATTTTTTAGTAATTGGAATGATGTTTCTGGTAGGTGTCTTAGTTTAAGTTCCCATAGCAGCAGACCCTGAGAGAAGGATTTGGGTAGAAGTAGTTTATTTTGGAAGTGATCTCAGGAAAATACTTGTAGGGAATGGAATAAGATAGAGAAAGGAAGGAAGCCAATATAGGGTGTGTTAGCAAGCAAGTTACTGCTTAGGCAACTGGCCTCCATCCTGCTAGGTAAAAGGAGAAAGAATATTTCAGTTGATAGGCAAGGGGACCGGGATCTTTACCTACGAACTCCCCATCATCTTTAGTTGAGGGATGATTACAGAGTTTTGGCTTGCCTTGCATATGGGGCCAATATGCTTCAATAGCCAGAAAAGGCCCTTAAGTAGGGAGTGTCAGATAAACAGTAAGATGCCTTAGACCTGGAAAGGTGCCTTTAAAGTGGAAAATCATAGCTTCTGCTACAGCAGGTCACACAATCTAAGTAGAGATTCTATTAACTTTAGGAACCCCAGACACTTGAAGCACCAAGACTTTCCTTTTATGCTACTCATCTTGTTCACTTCTGTCTCTAGTTCCTGAAACAGTTCTTGTCAGACAGTAGGTGTTTAATAAATAGTTGTTGACTGTATGTCTTTCCTTAGGTACTGCTTTATTCTTTCAGGCCTCTCCATGTCCTTGGGAGACATGGCTACTAGCAGTTATGGGTCATATCCTTATAACTCCCCAATAAGAAGTAAAGTGAGGTTTTCCCTTTCCAGCTCCAGCAAAAATTCTCAAAGAAGATCAGTTGGCCTGGCTTGGGCCATGAGCTTATCTCTTGATCAATCTTATTGGACATGGCCATGTTATATTATGTTTGGCTAGATTTAAATTGGGTGCCCACCTCTGAGACAACAAAAGTAGAGACTTACTAGAAGGTGGAATGACAATGCAATTGTCACCATATTTGGAACTAGGGAAAACCACTGGAGTATGTTTAAATTTTAAGTGCTGTTTGTCCTATATGTCTTAGCAGAAAAACGCTTGAGGACCAGCCCTGTCTTAGCTGAACTATTTACTACTGTATTATTGGTTCTTATATCTATCATTGATATAATACTTGATGGTTTAACTATTTGAAAGGGATCCTATAGATCATCTAGTCATTTATACTTTGCAAAGGCACAAATGTGTATCATGTGCTCCTGAGGTTTGTTTGGGAATGAATCGTCAAGTACGACAAGACTGGATCTCTCCTTTGATGTTGTCTCCTCATCCTTACTAGAGTCAATGACTGGCTTCATTCACTCAGTATAATATTTTCAACATTCCATGTTATAGCATGTATCAAAATTTCATTCCTTTTGATAAAATGCCAAATAATATTCCATTGTATGTAATGACGCATTTTATTTATTCAATCACCAGTTGATGGACACTTGGTTCCCACCTTTTCTCCCACTGTTTGGCTTTTATGAATAGTATTGTTGTGACGTATGTGTAAGTTTTTGTGTGAATATATGTTTTCATTTATCTTGGGTAGACACCTAGGAGTAGAATTGTTGAGTGGTATGCTAATCATTTCACATTTCACCAGCAGCGTATGAGGGTTCCTATTTCTCCACAACCTCTCTGATATTTATTATTGTCTTTTTATAGTATTGAACTATTTAAGATCAGTAAACAAGTGCAGATAGAGCTTTGCAAGTTCTGTGCCTGGCCTAGTGGTCATGTACTAGGCATTCACTAAACATTTGTTGAATGAATGAAAAAAATACATGTACACTCACAAGTTGTGAGGCTCACAATAACCCTATAGGAAGTAGGGAGTAGAAGACTCTGATTCCCATTTTAGACCTGAGAAAAATAAGGATCAGAAAGATTAGGTAATAAGTGAAAAGTCAGATCCTTGGTCCTTTGGCTCCAAATCCAGTCTTCTACAATTCAACACTGGTTCTCGGTAAATCTTTGAAATACCGTTATTAGTTAATGTACATAAAAGAATGCTCAGAAGTTTCAAAGATCTTAAGAAAAAAAAAGACTCAGCAGAAACTGAAGGGACTGCATGTTTTTGTGGCTTGGAGACTGCTAAGGAGGATTTTGAGAGTTGTGGGGATGAGAGAATGGTCTAGGGCAGTTTGACAATGGGAGTCACTCGACATAACTTTTGCAAGCAAATTCTTCATCTTTGAAGTAGAAATGGTAGCTGAGAATTTACAGGGCTAGAAACTTTAGGGAGGTTTAAAGAAAACTATAAATCAGGTGAGGGCTGATTATTTAGGTTTATAGACTGTATTTTCTGAGAAAGAGATAACATGGAAAGATAGGTAATAATCATAGTTTTCTTACAATACTCAGTTCTAATTGTAGTTCTTTATTTGTAACAGAAATTCTCTAATATATATGAAATATCAAGAGAATAGTATAAACCCCCATCACCCATCAATTAAAAATTATTGACATTTTGCCATTCTTATATATTTAAATAGTCTGACTTTCTTGAAAAGGCATTTTCCCCAACAGCTTTTTGCAGTATAATTGACAATCAAAAATTGTATATATTTCAGGTGTACAACCTGATGACTTGCTATATGTATATATATACATTGTATGTATGTGTGTGTGTGTGTGTGTGTGTGTGTATATATATATATATATACACATACACATTGTGAAATACAAGCCTGTCAACATATCCATCACTTCACATCTGAACAATTTTCCTCCTTTTTTTATGTTTAGAATACCCAAGATTTACTCTTTTAGCAAATTTCAAATACACAGTATTGTCAACTATAGTCGCTTTGCTGTAAACCAGTTCTCCATAACTTATTCGTCTTGCATAACTGAAACTAAAAGCCATTATTAATAACACCAATTCAGGCAAGTGACATTTAGGGCTGAAGGGAAGAGAAACTGCTGAGGCCACAAAAGGACTGAAAACTTTACAGTGAGTCCAAGATTTTGTTCATTGAGTCCTATAATCATTCAACGAATATATTTTAGGTGTAATTTTCATGGACACTGACCATCCACCAGTGAGATAGACCATGCTGGCCTCGGATTTGAGTCCCAATAGGGTTTCATCATTTACTGACTCTAAGACTTGGTTTTGTCCTCGAGCATCATCTTTCTCATGTAAAATAAGGACAATAATACCTCTTGACTGCGGCATTGTTACAATTAAAAGTGAGTTAAAGTACCCAGAAATGCGCATAATCAGTGTTTCGTAATGTATGTTCCGTTTGCCACAGTTATTGTACTAGGTTCTGAGAGCATGATGAAAGAAATAAGGAAGTCTGTCTGTCTCTCCATACTCCTCTCTCATCTAAGAGGGCAGTAAAAACCTCACAGAGGTCCTGTGTACAATGCAACACGTAAGATGCCAAAGCCTGTCCTCAACGACAGCATGCTTTCATCTTCTAAATTCATTTGAGTTCTAATCTTCTGTTATCTTTCTTTAGGTATTGCGGCTCTACAAAGATAATCTGTGCTAAACCCTGCTGTTGTCGAGGTCAGATGTTCGCCCGCAGGTTGGAGAAACTCCCACTGCACCCTTGTTTGGTCCTGATGAGGGCAGTGAGCCCGGCAGGCGAGCTGCTAAAGCTCTCTGGCAGCTCTCTCCCCGTCTTCCGAAAGCTGCAGTCAAAGGGGCGTTTCTAAGCCGCAGGGGCGGGCAGAGCCGGTGCCTCTCCTCTTTACTTCTGGGTGGGCACCTTGATTCGAAGAACGAACTTCGGTGAAATTTGCAGCCAGGAGCGAGCACGTGGGAGCCTCGCTGCCGGGCACTGTGTATCTCGTGGGCCGCTTACACGTGTCTATCCAACGGCGCCGGCTGCCTTGGGTCGCACCTGCGCGTGGCTCGCAGCAGCCTCGCCCGCCGCCTCGTTGCTCGCGACAACCGGCTCTAGGTAGCGAGTGCAGCGGCAGAATTCACTATCTCCCCACCAGTGGTCCCTTGAGATAGGGACCACT